GCAGCAGCAGCAGCAGCAGCAGCAGCAGCAGCAGCAGCAGCAGCAGCAGCAGCAGCAGCACCTGACGGGCATTTCGTCGAACTCATCTGCGTCTGCGAGCAGCTTCAGGATTTCAACAAAAGAAAGAACTTGCTGCTGCATCTTGTCTTGAATTCTTTTTGCCGTTTGGGGTTTTATGTAGTAGAAGCAGGCAATGCGGCCGAGGGGCGTGGGCTCGATCACGGGCTCCAGCAGCAGCTGCTGCTGCTGCTGCTGCTGCTTCTCCCGCTGCTGCTGCTGCAGCACCAGCCGGAACCCCGTCAGCGCCTCCTCGCCGCCCGCCTCGCCGCCCTCCTCCCCCTGCTGCTGCTGCTGCTGCTGCTGCTGCTGCTGCTGCTGCTGCTGCTGCTGCGGCAGCCGCAGCTGGATGCAGCCCAACTCCAGCAGCAAATCCAAAGCTCTGCTCACCAAACCATCCAAGTAGCAGCAAATCAAACTGCGGCGCCGCTCTGCTGCTGCTGCTCCTCCCCCGCGGCAGTCCTCAGCCAGCAGCTCGGAACTGTAGTAGCCGGGGTTCGCCGCCAGCCGCCTGCACGCAAACCCTAAACCCTAAACCCTAAACCCTAAACCCCAAACCCCAAACCCCAAACCCTAAGCCCTAAACCCTAGAACTAGGTCTTGGGCCGCCGGGCGCTCGCCAGCGCGCGGCCCCACGCACAGCACCCCAAGCCCTAAACCCTAAACCCCAAACCCCAAACCCTAAACCCTAAACCCTAAACCCTAAAGCGCACCTGAAGAAGTAGGTCCAGGAGAGGTACTCGAGAGCCATGGTTTTGCTGCGGATGGTCTCCGCAACAATTTCTGCATTTAAATGTTCTGGAAGACAAAGATGAAGACAAGACTCTACCGGAAAAGGCAAATAAAGAAAACGTTTTAAAAACCCTTTTTGCTTCTCCTGACACAACACCACTGCTGCTGCTGCAGTGTCGAACTGCGGCCGCCCCGCGCGCCCAATCATCTGCCAGCACACAAACCCCAAACCCTAAACCCTAAACCCTAAACCCTAAACCCTAAACCCTAGAGCCCTGCTGCGGGTTTCTCCTCGCAAGCTCTGTGGCACCCATGGATGCCCATTTTGAAACTGCAGCAATATTCCAGATAAGCTGCTGCACCCATGTGCAGCAGCAGCAGCAGCAGCAGATGCAGCAGCAGTGGCAGCAGATGCAACAGATGCAGCTGCAGCAGCAAATATAGCAGCAGCAGCAGCCGCAGCAGCAGCTGCTGCAGCACCACGAGTCGAGCCAAGGCCCTGTCGCAGCACCAGAAGAAGGATAAGCCTATTGCTGAGGCTGCTGCGGCTCCAGCTGCTGCTGCTGCTGCAGCTACTGCAGCAGCAGCAGCAGCAGTTGGCTGCTGCAGCTACTGTCGCTGCTGCTGCTGCTGCTGCTGCTGCTGCTGAATAATTAAATAAAATGCTAAACAAAAAAGGACACTGCAGCACCTGCAGCACGTCGGTGATGGGCATATCTACGTAGCGCTTCGTCTTGGCGTCGAAGTACTCCGTGCCCTGCAGCAAAATAACAACAACCCCACCCTGCTGCTGCTGCTGCTGCTGCTTCTGCTGCTGCTGCTGCTGCTGCTGCTTCTGCTGCTGCTGCTGCTTCGATGGCCACAGCTGCCTGTGCTGCTCGCGGGCTCCGAGACCAGCTACACTAGCTAGTCCGAGACCAGTCATATTGGCTAGCTGCCCCCAGGCTCCCTAAACCCTAAACCCCAAACCCTAAACCCTAAACCCTAAAACCTAAACCCTAAACCCTAAAGCCTATACCGCAGACCCTAAACCCCAGACCCCAGGGCCTAAGCCCTAAACCCTAAACCCTGAACCCCAGAAGCCCAGACACCGCACCCCAGACCCAAGAGCCCCGCCCCTCCCCCCTCCCCCCTCCCCCCAAACCCTAAAC